TTCAAATATCAAAGGCACGCAGGCCCGCTATCCAAAGAATACAAATCAAACTTCTACATTATCACCACCGTCGACGCTGGGAGAGTCGGGCGGGGGAATGATCGCGCCACCGACAACCCGATGGGTGTGCCCGATGCCCTCGGTGACCAGGCCGGGATTTAGCAATGAGAGCTGGTCGACTGCAGAGTTGAACCCGTCTTCCAGGGCACCGACTGCGTCCTCCTCGAGGTTCCGGATATGGGCAATAAGCTCAGCCCGACTCTTCAAAGCCATTAGGTCCTCGGGCTCGTCTTCGGCGGGTTGTTGGACAGCATTCAGTTCCTCAACCTGCTTGCCCAGGCGTTCGACTTCAGCAGCCAAACGATCCCTATCAGTCCGGAGCAACTCCCCTTCCTCGGTCAACCGCCCCGACTTCTCTTTCTCCAGGGTCAGCATCTCCCTCTCGGCGTCAAGTATCGCGGTCTGCTCTTGGAACATCCCCTCGGAGCGTTCCAGAGCGACCTTCAACTTCCTTGAGCTCGCAGTCAAGGCCGCCTTCTCCCGCTCGAGCTCTTCAACACGAGCAGCATCCCCTGCGTCTTCAGACAATACCAGAGCCATTTCAGCCATTTTAACCAGCCCGTCCACGCTGGCGACCAGCCGCGACTTCCTCTCCTCCTTAGTCATCCTCTTGATGGCCTCGGCCTCATGAACGACCACGGTCGGAGGGAACCGCTCAAAAAAGCCCTCCTCCTCGAAGCAAGGGGGAAGGCAAAGGATTGAACAGGTCCGGTATCTTCCCCGACATTCGAACCGCCTTCCACGCGGGTCCTTTTCCTCTGGGTCAAAATGGCACTGGCATCAATCTCCTCGACATCCGGATCCGATGCCGCTCCCGAGCTCGACGTCGAATCCACCCTCACCGGCGGAGGAACGGTCGTGCTCGGCGGTGGTCCCATTCTCGTCAACTGCGGGGCAGGCACGACCTTCTTGTTTCGCCTCTGGCCGGTTGACAGTTTCAGGAGCCTCTCATGTCGGCTGGCCATCGTACCTGCACGAAGTAAAAGAAAAGTCAGTATCGAGCAAAACGCGTAAATAAATGACGAGTAAAGAATTTCAAACAAACAACCTAACAGGCGGGCTGCCTGCCTATAGGTCGAGCATTCCACCAACGCCTTGGTGTCGATCGGGCGAGCCTCGAATGTCGGATAACCGTCCTTGTCGAGGATGTCATTCCCTTCCCGTGTGACCCACTGGGCGGGATGAAAACCGTCGACAAAGTTGCAGAGAGCCGCATACGCCCGTTGATCCTCCGTGCACATGTCCCCGACTGCAGTATGGAAGTAGCCGGTTCCATGCTGGAAGTGTCGAGACATCCAGTACACCGGGAACTTAGCCCGACGTCCTAACACGGGGCTCCCGTCATCGGTCAACATTGCTTCCCCGTCATCATCGCTGACCGGCCCTTCCTCCTCGAAGAGGGAATCCACAGCAGAGTCGGTGATAGGGTGTACCACATACCACTTATCCTTGAACCCCCTCACAGAGTCCATGTACATCCTAAACAGTCTCCTCGACTGCTTCAAGGACACCCAGCTGTGCTTCCCCCCTCGGGACTGACGCTGTAGGTGGAAGACCCTAAAGAAGAGAGGGATGGTCGCCCCTATCCTTAAGTAGCGGCACGTCAGCTCAAACGCCCAGATGAAGGCGAGAGAGTTAGGGTGTAGCTGGGACGGGGCCAGCTCCAAATGCGTAAAAACCCCGGTCTCAAAGTCTGTGAAAGGCAGCCGCAAACCCAAGTCTTTAAACGCGATCTCGTACATCGCAAAGCTGTAGTCCGGGTACATCGAACAAATTCTGGCGTTGGTCGACGGCAGCATGACCTCGAAATTCAGTTGAAAGTCGGGCTGGTCTTGCCCCCCTTCGATAGCGATGAACGGATGTCGGTCATCCCGACTGTATATCGACGCCGTCCCCCGAGGCTCGGCGCCCACCCATTCCAGCGATGGGTCGGTCACAGTGTCTATAAGGTTGGCCGACTCGTCGGCACTTTGTTCTTCGCTGTCACGACGACCTGAGGAGCTCGGCTCATCCGCCATGGTTACCTGCAGAGCACGGGAAACCAATCAGATTGAGCATGAAGCCCTATGCTCGACATAATCATGTCGTCCATACACTACCACAAGTCCATTTTCACAAGTGGATGCCTCCCCGACTCTCCTGAATCCAGTGTTCTTCCACAAACCAACTGCGCGGCCACTCTTCAAACACGTCGATCCGGGGTATGAACATGGCGAGCCGCATCATGAAGCCCACGGCCACGACCATAAACATACCGGGCACCGGCATGAGTCAGGCGCCCAGGATCATGAAGACCCCGGGCAGCTCTGAAGTTTTTCACCTAAAACTAAGAATATGTCGGCCACAAGTATGCGTTTGCCGGTCCTAGACATAAATCTGTCGGGCAAAACACGAGTTTACCGGGCTAATCCCACATTAACGGTCCTAAAACATCTACAATTTCCTAGAATCATGCATTCTAAAACAAGAAAATAAAGAAAATGGATCACTTACTTGGATCAAAGTTGGGATTTGGCTAAGAAATGAAGAATCTGAGACGGGAAATCACGGTTGGAGAGAGTGTTGAGAGTTGCAACGAAGAGAGCACGGAGAACAGAAAGCGTATTATGGGGCCCAAAGACCCTATTTATAGGGATGACGTGGAATACCAAACGTCACCTCGTTTAGCCACGGACTCCGTCTCCTCGACGCACTGCATCCAACGCAATGATGGCCCTACCCCCCTAGGGTGGCGGCACAATTCCCAAAAGATGCCTCGCGTGCCCGACCAACGTGCCCGGTACGGATCCTCCACGCATCCATCACCGAGGACGTTCCCGAGCACGACACGAGGAGGCCCCTCGAGGGCCCGCGCCTCCATTCCGGGCACGAGACCTCAGCGACTGAACAACTTGGTTTCAAGTCATGGCTCCTCGCAAAGGAACCACGACTTGGGGGGCTCCTGTTCTGGACTGGGCCCGACAGGCCCAAAAGCATTACCAAGGCCCAGTCCAATGGGACTCACTAAGGACCACAATGGGCAAAGGCCCAATCCAATGGGACTCACTAAGGACCACAACGTCCATGCCCGACACCCTGATGTCCACCTCGACATCTCAGTGTCCAGCCCACGCGACGAAGTCACGCTCGACAGACTGCCGTCCAACTCTATGCCCTGGCTTCCAGCTCGACATTCGCTGTCCAGCTCGGGGTCTTGGCGTCGAGCTCGACACCATGCTGCACTGCTCGACATGGACTCGAGCTACCTTGCTAGGGCAGACTCAGTCACCATTGCCCCAACGATACTCCGTAAAGACCGCGTCTCTGTCCGCCCGCACTTCACGCAGCACCTCCAGGAAGGGGACCACGTGCTGATCCCCACTACCCACGTAGAACCTGGCAGTTCCTCCATTGGGCCAAATCCGCCCGGCCCAATGAAGGAACCTTGGCCCAGCGCTGGGGGCTATAAATACCCTCTGTTTCCAGAGGGTCAGGTAATCATCATTTCTAACCTCAACTCTATTATCTGCTAGTACTCCCACTGACTTAAGCATCGGAGTGCCTTGCAGGTACCCCCCCCCCCCCCCCCCCTCCTCGTTCTAAAAGCCTTCAGCTCGGAGCAGCCGTGACGGTCCAAACCTTCTGATCAGGTCAGATCATATATATATATATATATTATTGCCAAAGAATAAGATATAAAATATTTGCTAATAAAACACATTAAAATTTGATAAATGATCGTTCTTGTTTGAAAAATCTAGTAAGTTTTGTTAAGAAAAATTGAACATGTGCAGTAACTTGATCACATGGTGAAATTAATTATTAATTTACAAAACTATATACAATTTAATTAGTGGAAATGTATATTTAAAATTTTGTAAACTTAGTTCAAGTTTGAGAACTTAAATTCATAGTATACATTACTCATTCCAAACACATCGGAATCACCTATGCTTGTGCTTGCAGAATCGCCACCTTCCCAACCATACTTTAAATAAAAGTGCATCCAACTGATTGTAAGTTGTAACAATGATGTGAAATCATATAGGTGCATTGCATGCATATACTACATTTTATAACACACCTTGATTTGCAACATTTCTAATATCATTCACAAATCTTACCTCCCTTACCACTAATCATACTATCATGACGCACCACCTTCATGACATGCAAAAGATACACCTTTCTGAACTAAAATTGCACCTAATAAACCAATCATTAACTTTCACCTCCTAAACTATAAAAGGAAACTCTTTCTCACTCTTCCTTCCCACCACCTTCAATCAACAATATAAGCACTAGTGTCTTCTAACAATTTCAAAACAACACGTCAAGAAAGACCAAAAATGAATAACATCATGCAACAATCTCTCATTTCAACCTCATTCTTTCTTCTAGCAATCACTTTCTACACCACCGCCTCTTTAGCCCAACTCTCACCGATTCAACCTCCTACAACAACATCATCACCACCATTACCATCAATCACAGCATCACCACCATTACCAGCAACAACAGCAACTGCACCATCTCCAGGACTAAACACAGTACCACTTGTACCAACAACACCAACTGGTGCACCATCACCGCTCATCCCAAAAGGACCCACCATTGACATAATCAGCATCCTCCAAAAAGCAAAGAGATTTTCCGTCCTAATCCGTCTTCTCAAAACAACACAATTAATCAACCAACTCAACTCACAGCTTGTATCATCATCAGGTTCAGGTGGTTTAACAATTTTCGCACCAGAAGACAGTGATTTCTCCAAACTCAAAGCTGGATTCTTAAACTCTCTATCTGATAGACAAAAAGTTGAACTCTTACAGTTTCACACTCTTGCTTCATTCATTTCAATCTCAAACTTTGATACCTTAACCAACCCTGTTCAAACACAAGCCGGTGATGATGCTAGGCTTCAACTTAACGTCACTACTTACGGTGGAAACCAAGTTAGTATGGCTACTGGAGCTGTTAATGCTTCCGTTACAGGTACTGTCTATACTGATAGCAAACTTGCTATTTATCAGGTTGATAAGGTTCTTCTTCCTCTTGATCTTGTTCTTCCAGCTAAGGCTCCAGCGTTAGCCCCTGCGCCTGGTAAGGGTTTTCCTAAGGCGGGAAAAACTAATTCTTCTGCTGTAGATGATGGTAGTAGTGCTGGCAGTGACGATGGTGATGGAAAGGATTTGCCAGCGGAAGCTTCTGCTGTAGGGCGTGTGATGATGTCGGTGAATGTTGTTGTTGCTGTTGGAATGTGTTTGGTTGGTGGAATTGTTCTATAAGGTGGATTTGATGGAAGGATTCAGTTATTTTTTGTTCTGGTTTTTGCGATTCTGTTCTGTTTTGTTTTGTGTGAGTGATTCTGTTTTCAATTGAGTTACTTTCAGTATATATATTATTATTCTGTATTGATAACTTTTGTAATTTGTGCTTCTTTCCTAGATTATTTGAAATTGGAATCAAATTTATACACGAGGGACTCAGCTCCTGTCAATAATTTTTTCCACTGTAATGATTGAGTGCTCTTATACTGTTATAAGAGCTCAACCCCAGTTTTCTTTGTTGATTTCCTTGTGCTAGGTCACATAATAGTAAGATTTGTTTTGCACTGATCATGAAATCAAACCAACTTTCAAGTTCCATGATTAAAAGAAACTTTTTTATTTATTTAAGGTTTCCATTAAAAAAACAAGGATTACAATTACAATATGTATAAATATTAGATAATAGAAAAAAATCAAAATACCTTTACTAAAATATAATAATAATATGAATATAATTGGAATATGCTAATAGTGTAAAAAAAATTTATACCGGCAGTTAATCACAACTGTTAATTTGTTGAAAATATTTAATTTTAATTTTAATTTTTAAAAAAATATTATAATTGAGTGGTTGTGATGTACTGATAGTGTAAAAAGTTTTATACTAACAGGGCATAGCAATTAAACTCTAATAATATTATCTAACATTTGTCCTCAAACTCGTGGTGCATTTACAAAAAGCATCAAGAGTTTGTCAATTAAGAAACATAAATGTTTTAATGGAATGTGTATTCGTAAATATTCTGGACTGACCCAATGACTAGACATGGTCCAATATACTTCTACGTCTGAAACGGCCCAATAGCTTTGTCCCAATCGGTTAAGGACATACAAGAGACACTTCTTCCTTCTGCCCCCACTCGAGGAGCTGTGGTCGGTTGGATCAACGAGATCACTCCTGCCTGCTGAAACAGGATAGTCCTTGCCCTGCCAGCCGCACGAGGATAGCCACCCAGGAACAATCAGAATCACGCTTGCCTGTGAATACTCCTCTGCTCGTTATAACGGCTAGTTCCGAGCACCTCTGCCCGTCAAAACGGCTAGTTCCTGACAATTATCTATTTTTGAGGAATATGGATTCAGACCCAAAAATAGGGACCAATGGCCAAGCGCTGGGGGCATTATATAAACCCTCACATTTGTGAGGGTCAGGTATTTAATATTCACTCTAAAACCCTAAATTCTCTCTTGTATCTCTTGGCACTCTTACTTACTTGAGCGTCGGAGCGCCTTGCAGGTACACCCCCTCCTTGATTCCAGCCTTGTAGACGTTATCTAGCGGTCCATTACAGGTTCTGATCACCAGTGAGATCAATGGCGCCGTCTATGGGAAACTTCCCTCTCCATCTTTCTTTCTCCGGAAACTAAAGGTCAAAGCGACATTTCAAGATTCAAAGTCATGGCTAATCAAGATGATAACCACCTTTCTGGAAAGACAATCCTCTCCCATGTCCGCAAGACAGACAAGAAAGGAGACCTACCTCATCTCGAGGATATCCTCATGAAGAGAGACGGTCGTAGCGTATCCAACTTCAGTCGAAGCGGAGGATGACGACCTCGATTTCTTGGACGATGGTGGAAAATCCAAGAAAGTCCCAAAATAGACATCGACGATCCTCTAACCAGTTCCGATACCAGATAACGCTGACCGGCCATCGCAGCTTTGCTTGCTGCGCTTAATCAGGCCAACGCTCAGATCCTTCAACAAAGTAATAGAATTGGAGCTTGGGAAAAGAGACGCCAATCGAGATCTCCACCTCGGAGACACCAACAACATAACTCCTATAGTCCATCACCATCAAAGTTTGGCCTCCTTTGCGCACACGAAAAGCCAGAATTCTCATTTCTCAAGAAGCGAGACCAGACTCCTCCCTATGAAGATCGACGCTCCATGATCACCAAGAAGACAAAGGGTAATCAACGACCAGATAACGGCCTTTCACCATCACCCTAACCAAAGTACCGTCCTATGGGCACATCTCTCCGTCGGGACAACAGCCTCCGACGAGAAAGAAATCACTACTCTCCGCCCCATATCCAGATCGAAGCGACGACGATGATCCCCGCGGCCCATTATTCCGAGAAATTATGGAAACTACATTTCTTGTCGGCCTGGAGAAACCCCCTAACCCTGGGACGTACGATGGGACCACCGATCTAGACGAGAAAATCGAGAACATTGATGCCCTGCTCGATTATAGAGGTGTCCGAGGAGCAATCAAATTCCAACTCTTTCCCACCACTCTTCGGAAGGAGATCATGTTTTGGTACAAAAGCCTCCCCGGCGAGTCAATCACATCTCGAAAACTTGAAGAAACAATTCTCTAGGCATTTTACGGCATCTCGCCGGCACCCTAAGTCATAAGCATCATTGGAGGCCATCATCTAGGGGAAGGATGAGTCCCTCAAAGCATATATAGAAAGGTTCAACAAAGAAGCCATCCAAGTCTCCACAACTGACGGGATGAAGAAACATCTCTTCGAGTGAGGATTACGCCCTCACAGCGACTTTACCAAGGCAGTTGGCATAGAAACTCGTGTGACATTGGATGTTGCCCCTGTTCAATCTTCTTAAACCTGAAGAGTTAGATTGGCATGTCTGCCATTCGTGACTTGAAGGTAGAAAATGATTGAACACTTAAGTGCCCAGAAATTTCCACTCGTCGGTGCACGAAGTAACGCTGTTGGTTGATTATACCGAGAATAGGCTTAAAGGTGCCATTTAGATAGGTAATGATGAGTCATCGGAGATGGGCTTATAGATGCCATCCAAAGTAACTGTTGATATAAATTAGACTAAGTCTACACTCGACTTCAACTAGAAGAAGTATCAGAATAAATATACGCTTGATTTAATCTGAGCCAGAAAATGTCTACTGGAAGAAGTATCAGAATAAATCTATGGTTGATTTAATCTGAGCCAGAAAATGTCTACTGGAAGAAGTATCAGAATAAATCTACACTCGATTTAATCTGAGCCAGAAGAGGTCTTTTTGTCTTTAATTGGAAGAAATATCAGAATAAATCTATGGTTGATTTAATCTGAGCCAGAAAATGTTCACTAGAAGAAGTATCAGAATAAATCTATGGTTGATTTAATCTGAGCCAAAAGATGTCTGCGTCCTTCTTTAACTGGGAGAAGTATCAGAATAAATCTATGGTTGATTTAATCTGAGCCAGAAGAGATCTTTTGTCTTTAATTGCAAGAAGTGTTAGAATAAATCTATGGTTGATTTAATCTGAGCCAGAAAATGTCTTTTTTTTAGAATGATCCTCTGAGGAAATTGCTGAAATAGCCCTTTGTCAAATGTGGCCTTGGAGAAGACTGTCGGGTCATATATGTAGTTGATGATGTTTGTCTCTTGATTGATCTTTCCTGAAAAGGTAAAGAGTTAGTTGTATGCAATGTCATGATGTATGAAATGAATTACGTAATGATATTCTCAAAATAAATGAGGCTATGATTATATGCGTTTCGTATGCATATGCTATGATATGGGTAAATGATATATGAATGTAAAATGTTATTGGAAGTGTATCAACAGTTCCGTATGACATCTTACTGGGGAAATGAATCCCTGACTGGTGCTGGGGATGAAGAACATGTGTAACCTTCAACCTTGTCTAGAATGCTTCTGTTAGGGATTCCTGCTTGCTGTTTGAGGAAATTTCGCTAGGAAGTGTTGACTTCTGTTTGGGGAGAAGAGTTTAGGAACATTAGTCGTTCATCACTCTACTGGAGAGTTTAATTCTTATATACCCCGACTGGGGATAAAAGAGATGGATAACCTTACGACTCGTCTAGGGAGGAAAAAGTTGACTGATATCTGGTCCGCTTCCAGGTTTTGTAACAACTCTCTAGGGATAGTGGCGACTTCACTGGGGAGAGGAATTTTGCTGGTGATTCGTAGCCATCTGAGGAATAGACTCAAGTTGGGGAGACTGTAATCTGTTGGGGAAATCAACCATGTTGGGGACATAAAAACTGTTGACGGAGAAATACTCTGCCGAGGAAACACCCTTGTTGAGGGAATGATCTGCTGGAGAGAAGAAATTTGCAGGGGATTTTTCAATTTTGGAGGAATAAACTCAGTTGGGGAAGAGAATTTCCATTAATTATACTGAAAGGGACTCCGTATATCGGTGATATTATTGGGAAGGAGATCATACTCCTTTATCTGATAGAGCGATCTGTCGGAGAAATTACGAGGAATGTATCTTTGTTGAAGATGAATTTGTGAATATTACTCTGTGGAGATTTGTGGATGGCTTGGACGTTATCCCAACTCCTAGAGTCTTGAGCAAATGCTTATTCACGTTCTTATGCATATATTTGTTAACAGTTAATTGTGTTCATATGCATATGTTCTTTCAATTTTAGTCATTGGACGTTTTTGTAAACAAAGCAGAAAACAAAAAAGTTTAAATTTTAGGGTGTATTTGTATTGATAGTTTGCCCATAAATAGGCGATTTTATACAAAGAGACATAAATCCTAGTAAGAGGAAATTTTCATGGAATGAAAAGAGTACAAAGTGAAAACAAAACATATAGTTATGTGGAAATGATCTCGTTAGGTTCCAACTCTGTTATTGCCCCTATGTCTTCGAACATCTCATCCCTTACTGTCGGAAGAAGTTGATTGAACTGATCTGTACCATTTGAAATTTTGACTTTGGTAATAAAGCTTACTGTAAGTGATCCAAGGGGACATTGTCATACGCTTTAATCCCTAACTTTTGCTTGGACTTCCCTTTCGGGTTTTCAGTCCACCGGGATACCCTTTCTTGCCCAAGCCGCCTTTTCAGGTTTTCGACTTGCCGGGTGTATAATCTTTTATATATATCCATAATTTTTGCCTGAACCCTTTTGGTTCGCCGCGATGCCCTTATTTTTGCCTAGGCCAGTCAACCTAGCGGGTCGTTTTCATGCGTAGTATTTTCTTAACTATGTCCATAT